AGCCCATAAATCTGAGAAGCGGGCAATAGATTTGCTATCTCATAACCATGCCCAATTTGGAGCAACTTAAACAGCAGCGCGCTAATCTGCGTCGAAACATATCGCGCATTCGCAATTCTGTCGACACAAAACTTGCAATTTCATCCGCTGAATTGAATTGTCGTTTGGCTATATTAGAGGCCTACTTTAAGCAAGTTATGACAGTTCAGACCGAAATTGAGCAGCTGGATCCAGACGAAGCAGAGCGTGAGACCAGAGGAGAAATAGAAGATACGTACGTCGCTATCAAGGTGTGCATTAATGAGCAGCTAGGTTCAGATGCCCACAATTTGACTGTTGCTGACTCAGTTCATTGCGCTTCTCACTCAACTTCTATGAAGCTGCCACGTCTGTCACTACCAGTTTTTGATGGAAAATACTCCGACTATAAAAACTTTATAACATCGTTTAAGTTAGTCGTTGATAAGCAGTCTACTTTGTCATCCATCGAAAAGTTCAATCAACTAATCAATTGCTTACGTGGCCCGGCCTTAGAAACTGTCAAGGCTTTTCAAATCACTTCGGAAAATTATTCAAAGGCGCTGGAACGCCTCAAGGCCCGCTACGATAATCCAACGCTCGTATTCTTGGACAACATAAATTCGCTTTTTACTTTACCTAGTGTTTCAAGGTCAAATGCGAAACAGCTTCGTAGCCTGATCGACAACTCATCAGCCTTGTACAATTCATTGTTGTCACTGGGTAATGCATCGCAAATTGCTGAGGCTATGCTTATCTCCATCGTTATGGAAAGGGTGGATCAAGACACCAAAAAGAAATGGAATGAGCATTTGAACTTCAGCGATCTTCCTACATGGACATCCTGCGTTTCGGTTGTCGAACGACATTGCCAATTCTTGGAGTCAATAAGTAAGCCCGGTACCGATAGTAGCGCGAGTCAGCAAGCTATTGGTAAGCCACGAAACCAAAAACACCAGCGCCAAGGGTTGACTTTCAACTGCACATCGCAAACGTGTCATTCATGCGCTAGCACGGAGCACAGAACTTACAGGTGTCCTCAAATCGTTGGTGCTACACTCAATCAGCGTTATGACATCACTAAGCGACTGGGACTTTGTCTCAATTGCTTGGGCAAGGGTCATCAGGCTGCGAAATGCCCATCCACACACAGGTGTCGATCGTGTTCTCGCTCCCATCATACACTATTGCATCGTGATTCAGCTGGTATGTCTTCGTCTCCACCGCAGTCAACTCCGCAACTCCCTGAAGTACCACAGAAGAACTCAGAAGCAGCTGTTCACACTCACACCGGCTTGAATCGAATAATTTTAGCCACAGCTTTGGTTCTGGTCAAGGATGCGTCAGGCTGTTATAAAATTGGTCGTGCGCTCCTAGACTCTTGTTCACAAGTCAATTTCGTATCGGATCAATTCGCACAGGCTCTCCGATTACCTCGCAAACGAAGCCATATGGAAATTCGCAGCATTGGAGAATCCCAGACTCAGATAAAACATCGAACGTCTACAACAATCAAGTCACGTTTTGGAGAATTCGAACTACCGCTAGATTTCTGTGTTACTTCGAATATTGCATATCATCCAGACACAGAAATTGATATCTCATCATGGAAGCTGCCTCAAAATACTCCGTTGGCCGACGAAGGGTTCAACAAAGCTCGTCCTATTGATTTGCTGTTAGGGACAGAAGCATTTTTCGACATCTTATCCATTGGCCAAATCAGGCTTGGTGTAAATATGCCAGTGTTGCAGAAGACGCTCCTTGGATGGGTAGTTTCGGGCCGTTGCCAAACCGGCTCCACCACATCACACAGTTACTCGATTTCCATGGACGAAGTCATCAACAACAACATAGAACGCCTGTGGCGCATTGAAGAGGTTAACACTTCTGTGGACATTTACACTCCAGAGCAGCGCAGTTTTGAAGAGGCTTTCAAAAACACCATTCGCCGACAACCTGATGGCCGAGTGGTAGTTCGCCTCCCATTCAAAGATGATCCTGGTTTGTTAGGTCACTCGTATGAAATTGCCCGTAAACGTTTTGAAGCTCTTGAGCGCCGCTTGAGCCGCACATCAGATGTGAAAAGGCAATACGCAGATTTTATGTTAGAGTACGAACAGTTGGGCCATATGAGCTTGGTGACAACACCGAAGTTGGATGTCCCACATTTTTACATACCGCACCACTGCGTACTCAAGCCGAACAGTACCACTACGAAATTAAGAGTGGTTTTCGATGCCTCTTGTCGGACAACGACACAAAGGTCTCTGAACGATTTACTAATGGTCGGACCGACCATACAGCCCGACTTGTACACGTTACTTCTACGCTTCCGTACATATCGTTATGCAATTACCGCCGATGTCGTCAAGATGTTCAGACAGATTCTTGTCGACCCCCCTGATCGCAAGTTTCAATATATACTTTGGAGAAGTACACCCGATCAACCATTACGCACATTTGAACTGAATACAGTCACTTATGGGACTGCTACCGCGCCATATCTCGCTATACGTAGCATGCAATACTTAGCTGAGCAATGCATGGACGAGTTCAAGGTAGGAGCCGAGGCTATAAAATCATCGTTCTACGTTGATGATTTCATTTGTGGAGCTAACACGTTGGAATGCCTTCATCAAATCAAAACGGAGGTAATTGAGATACTTCGTCGTGGTAGATTTGAGCTAGCGAAATGGCACTCGAACTATAGCGAGTTTGTTAATGACTGTACGATTAAAGATCTTAACTTAGAAGACGATTCAGTAACCAGCACTCTGGGCTTAAGGTGGGATCAACGAGAAGACGTCTTTATGTTTGCATTTGTACTCAAGCGCACATCACATGCTGTCACGAAGCGGTCTATACTATCAATTGCTTCGTCTCTCTTTGACCCGTTGGGCTTGGTGTCACCTATCATCATACTTGCAAAAATACTTATACAAGAGCTTTGGTTGCTAAAATTACAGTGGGATGAGTCAGTTCCGCACAACATTCACACCGCATGGACATCGTTCCTCTCATCGCTTTCATCGTTGGAATCGCTAACTATACCGCGCTATTGCCTTCAACCCAGCGTTCAGAGCCTTCAGTTGCACGGCTTCTGTGATGCCGCAATTAGGGCTTATGGATGCTGTATATATGCACGCACAGTTGACCCTAGCGGTGAAGTCAAGGTCACGTTGATTACATCCAAGTCGAGAGTCGCCCCAACGAGGAAACTGTCATTGCCCAAATTGGAATTATGCGGTGCTCATTTGCTGTCACAACTTTACGCTAAAATAAAGGTGAATTTCGGCGATACCCAATATACAACGTATCTATGGAGCGATTCACAAATCGTTCTACACTGGATTCAACAGCATTCCGCCGCACTATCTACGTTCGTAGGAAATCGTATTTCTGAAATACAACAAAAAACATCTTGTTGCGAATGGAAATACGTTTCAACGCACTATAATCCAGCTGATCTGCTTTTCAGGGGGTGCTCAGTAGTGAGCTGCAGCAGTCCATATGTTTCGAAGGGCCGGAATACCTGCAACGCCACCAAGACGAGTGGCCGACGCACCATCGAGGTGATATTGCTCAAAATATAGTGAACTTAGAGAAATGTAAATCGGCTTTCGGTACTGTTAATGCCACTAACGACCTACTCGAAGTAGCGTATAAAACTAGCTCGCACAGCCCATGCTTGCAAATCGTAGCCTGGATGTTTAGGTTCAGCAACTTAAGTAGAAAATTGGGTTCGTTCGATATATTGTCGCCTTCACCACAAGAGCTGTTACATGCTTTGCATTGCATCACTTGGAACCTGCAAATAATGACATCAAAGCACTTCTCAACGGCCAACAGGTCTGTAGTAATCTTAAATCTTTAAATCCTTCTTTGCAGATAACTGATGGGTTCATGCTGATGAAAGTTGGTGGTCCAATGGAGATGATAACTATTCTGTATACACAGAATCACCCGATACAGCTTCCAGGCAAGGATGACTTTGTCTGCCAGTACGTGCAGCTCGTTCATCGCCAAAATTACCATGCGGGTCCAAAGGCATTAGTTGCACTCATATGCCTACGCTTTTGGATCATCAATGCACGGGATTTAGCCCACCGTGTCGTCCGATCTTGCCTGCACTGCGTTCGTTATAGGCCAAAGCTGGAAGGGCAAATAATGGGTCACCTACCCCATTAAGACCATTTGCAAGATGCGGAGTGGATTTCTGCGGTCCAGTCAATACGTACCTACGCATTCGAGGCAAGGTTCCCAACAAAAGCTACATCGCAATTTTCGTGTGCTTCGCGGCGAAGGCAGTGCACCTTGAAGTTGTGTCAGAATTGTCGTCCGATGCATTTATCGCAGCCCTGAAACGATTGGTAGCCAGGCGTAGGCTACCGTCCGATATCTTCTGCGATAATGCTACCAATTTCGTTCGAGCCAGCAACCAATTACAGGCCCTCAAGCAATTTTTGTTTAAGGATGACACAATCAACTCGATCAACAAATTTTGTGTACGTGAGTTCATCAACTTCCATTTCATCCCTCCCAGAGCCCCCCATTTCGGCGGCTTGTGGGAGGCTGCAGTTAAGAGCGTCAAGGGACTAATCAACCGCACTCTTATGAACGCTCGTTTAACATTCGAGGAGCTTACAACTGTCACAGCTGAGGTGGAGGCGATTCTGAATTCTCGCCCTTTGTCACCACTCTCTTCTGACCCGAATGACCTAGCTGCACTCACCCCGGGCCACTTCCTCATTGGCGACTCATTACGTGCATTGCCCG